TCAGAATCCAGGAGTTTTCAGAAGATTGGGGATACTTAATTTTTCGCCCAAAAAAAAATGTAAGGGTAACACTGTCATTTTTTTTTCGGGGTCGGAAATTGAGTTTCGATATCTCAGCTCTGCAAGGGTCTAGAGCTCCATTTTTTGCACTCAGGTTTTAAGTCTCATGGCCCTCTATCAGAATTCCAGAGTTTTGAGAAGATTGGAGAAACTTCATTTTTCGCCCGAAAAAAAAAAAAACGAAAGGGGTACCACTGTCGTTTTTTTTTTCGGGTCGAAATTTTGAGTTTCGATATCTCAGCACTGGAAGGGTCTAGAGCCTCCATTGTTGCACTCAGGTCTATGTCTCATGGCCCTCTATCAGAATCCAGAGTTTTGAGAAGATTGGGGATACTTAATTTTTCGCCTAAAAAAAAAATGTAAGGGGTAACACTGTCATTTTTTTTTTCGGGTCGAAATTTTGAGTTTCGATATCTCAGCTCTGGAAGGGTCTAGAGCCTCCATTGTTGCACTCAGGTCTAAGTTTCATGGCCCTCTATCAGAATCCAGAGTTTTGAGAAGATTAGGGAAACTTCATTTTTCGCCCGAAAAAAAAAATGAAAGGGGTACCACTGTCGTTGTTTTTTTTCGGGTCGAAATTTTGAGTTTCGATATCTCAGCTCTGGAAGGGTCTAGAGCCTCCATTGTTGCACACAGGTCTATGTCTCATGGCCCTCTATCAGAATCCAGAGTTTTGAGAAGATTGGGGATACTTAATCTTTCGTCCAAAAAAAAAACGTAAGGGGTAACACTGTCGTTTTTTTTTTTCGGGTCGAAATTTTTGAGTTTCGATATCTCAGCATGAAGGGCTTGAGCCTCCATTGTTGCACTCAGGTTGTACTGCCCATTGTGAGAAGAGGTATTTGGGTTTTGAGTTTCTTGTGTTTTGTCCACTCAGAGTTTCCGTAGCTCAGTTGTTCTCATAACATTCCCCTGCAAGTCGATCTCCAGAGTGTTAAAGTTTCTGAACTGTCATTTCGGTCTCTGACGAATATCTGTCTGTAAGTATTTGTTTCTTAGAGATCTTAGCCTACTTTTGATATCCTATTTAGTCATTTTAGCATTTTTCTGTTTGTAATTTGCAAGGAAATATGTGACGCTAATTGCGTTAGCTTCTCTATGGCATTTTCTATGTAAATTAGCATTGTGCTATTTGTTTGCCATACAATCGTGATTTGAAAGTTTAGTTATTTCTAGACTACATATTTATTTTTGTATTGTATATTCTTCATATTGAGATTGTAATATGCTTTTCTTTGTTTTTGTATGTTACAGTTTTACAGTCCTTTCAGTAAAACACCACAATACAGCAAGAAGCTTCTGGTACTTTATTGGAAACTGTTAGCTATCTGTAAAGCTAGTTTATGCACACTAGTGAAGGCAGAATAGTAAAAAGACACATGGAAAGTCAGCCAAAAGTCGACACGGAAGACTACACTGCTGTCTCTGATCGCCAAAGTTCAGCCAGCAACGTTGGTGACTTGTGGGAAACGAGCTCGAACAGTTCCAACAACTCACGTGCCAGTCAGCGGTCACACGCCAGTCAGCGGTCACACACCAGTCAGTGGTCTAATGCAAGCGTTTTGGCTGCTAGAGCACGTGCTAAAGCAGCAGCCGCTCAAGCAAAGGCATCATACGCTGAACGAGAAGCAGAGGTGTTAAAAGAAAAGGCCCACATCAAGGCTGAGGCTACAAAAAAGAAAGCAGAGCTCAGCGCTGACCTCCTCAAATTGCGTCTACAGAGTGCAGCTGCTGCTGCCAACGCCGAAGCAGAGGTCCTGGAAGCAGCCGCTGGGGAAGAAGGTGGAGAACCCTGGTTTCTAGAAAGCAGCGACAAAGTAGTTGACTCCATACCAGCTCCACCTCCGCAGACTATTAATCGCTCTAATTACCCTCAAGCTAGCACAGTGACACTTCCAGCAGCTCAGCGAGTGAAATACAGCGGCGATATTGAGCAACATAAAGATAAAGAGCATAACATATCAAACAGCGAGATTAGTGAATATGGGTTTCAAGAGCTACCAGTGACGCATTCTCCACAGTATGACATCAGCAGTGGAGCAACTCATCCTTATGCCCAAAGCTCGTTCAAAAATGCCCTTTTCACGTCCCACTCACAGTATCCTACCCCAGCTACTACAGACCACAGATTTCAGCAACATCTAATGAACCAGTCAGTTCCTTTGCAGCCTAGGCTGACGTCACCACGCCCTGTACCCAGTGCAAACGAGTCCAATTCCCCAGCCACATCGGACTTAGCCAAATATTTGGTACGCAGAGAGTTGGTCAGCTCAGGGCTCCTGACGTTTGATGATAAGCCTGAAAATTATTGGGCTTGGAAGGCATCCTTTTTGAACGCTACAGCAGGTCTCTATTTATCCCCAAAAGAAGAGTTAGATCTCCTCTGCAAGTGGTTAGGCCCCAAATCATCAGACCAAGCCAAACGATTAAGGGCTGTGCACACTTACGATGCCGCAGCTGGTGTAAAAATGGTATGGCAAAGACTGGAAGACATCTATGGGTCCCCTGAAGCGATCGAGAATGCTCTCCTGAAAAAGTTGGAAGATTTTCCCAAAATCGCAAACAGAGAAAACGGCAAGTTAAGGGAGTTAGGTGATCTCATCTCAGAGCTTGATGCTGCCCGGGTAGATGGATTCCTGCCTGGTCTGAGTTACCTAGACACGTCCCGGGGCATCACACCCATTGTTCAGAAACTCCCATTTCACCTTCAAGAAAAATGGATTACCACAGCATCTTACTATAAAGAGCAACACCATGCTTCATACCCGCCATTTCCCGTTTTCGTGAAGTTTGTGTGCGACAAAGCTAAAACTTTAAATGACCCAAGCTTTGCTCCCTTGCTTTCTACCAGTGGTCCAAGTGTTTGTAGGCCTGAAAGAATGATCAAGCCCAATTTCAAAACCGCAGTATCTGTTCGAAAAACTGAAATACTTGCTCCAAAAGGCAATCGTGAATCCTCTGACCAAAAGGTGGTTGACCCGGATAAACTGTGCCCGCTCCACAATAAACCACATTCCCTTCGCAAGTGTCGTGGTTTCAGAGCAAAGACTTTGGATCAGAGGAAAGTCATTCTGAAAGAATTGGCCATTTGTTACAAGTGCTGTTCCTCCGTCAACCACATGGCAAAAGATTGCGACGCAAGTGTACATTGCAATGAGTGCAAAAGTGACCAACACGTTACCGCACTGCACCCTGGACCACCAACCTGGAAAACGGAAACTCCAGGATCTGAATCTCCTAACGTGCATGGCGGGGAGCAAGCAGAAAGTCCTATACGCGCCATTGTCTCCAAATGTACTGAGGTATGTGGAAAGGGTAACAGCTCACGCTCATGCTCCAAAATCTGCTTAGTAAACATTTATCCTGTTGGGCACAAGGAAAAGGCAGTGAAAGCTTATGTTGTCTTAGACGAGCAAAGCAATAGGTCTTTAGCAAAAACAGAATTCTTTGAGATCTTTAACGTTAACACAGACACCAAAATTTACACTCTAAAGACTTGTTCAGGCGTAGGAGAGACAAAAGCACGCCAAGCTGACGGGTTCATTCTGGAGTCTCTTGATGGCAACACTAGCGTCCGGCTGCCCACATTAATCGAGTGCAACATGCTCCCAGATGATCGATCTGAGATCCCCACACCGGAGGCTGCAAGACAACACGCTCACCTCAAGCATTTGGCAGTCAAGATTCCTGATTTGGACCCTAATGCTTCAATACTGGTCCTCCTTGGTCGGGACATACCAAGACTGCACAAGGTCAGAGAACATTACAACGGCCCCCACGATGCTCCTTACGCCCAACGCCTCGACCTCGGCTGGGTGATAATAGGTGATGTTTGCCTTGGAGGTGCTCATGTGCCTAGCAATCTCAGTGTTTACCGCACATCAGTGTTGAACAATGGACGCACATCTCTGTTGGACTCTTGCACCAATTCATTCCATGTTAAAGAAAAGATTCTGAGCTCTGACGGCCCATTTAATTCTGGGAACATGTGCAGCTTGATGGACATAGATGAAAATGACTGTCTAACCAACAAATTGTTCAAGAGAACCCCACATGATGACAAACCTGCCATGTCAGTCGAGGATGAACTCTTCTTGGAGATCATGGATGAACAAATGTTCATGGACGAGTCTAACAGCTGGGTGGCACCACTGCCCTTCAAAACGAATAGACACAGATTACCCAACAATCGAGACCAAGCAGTCAAACGTCTCAACTCACTGCGTCGAGCGCTTGACAAAAAGCCCCAAATGAAAGAACATTTCTTGAACTTCATGGAAAAAATGTTTGAGTCAGGACATGCTGAACCCGTTCCGCCACCCACCAAAGATCAAGAGTGTTGGTACCTACCGTTTTTTGGTGTGTACCATCCACGCAAACCTGATCAGATACGGGTAGTGTTTGATTCTAGTGCAACTTACAAAGACACGTCTTTGAACGATGTTTTGTTGAGTGGTCCAGACATGAACAACACACTTATTGGGGTCCTTTTGCGCTTCCGAAAAGAACCTGTGGCAATAACTGCGGACATACAGCAAATGTTCTACTGTTTTGTCATTCGCGAGGACCACCGCGACTTTGTGCGTTTCCTGTGGTACGAAGGTAACGATCTCACAAGGGCAATCAGAGAGTACAGGATGACCGTACATGTGTTTGGAAATAGCCCGTCTCCTGCCATAGCTATATATGGTCTCCGGAGGGCGGCGCTGGCCACACAGGATGAGTACAGTGAAGAGGCCAAACAGTTTGTCCTTAAAAACTTTTACGTTGATGATGGACTGGCTTCTTTTTCTTCAGACGTTAGCGCCATTCAAACTCTGAAAAGTGCCAAAGAAATGCTGGCGGACTCTAACATTCGTTTGCACAAAATAGCCTCCAATAACCCAGACGTAATGGAAGCATTTCCATCTGAGGAACGTGCAAAAGAACTGAAAAGTCTTGACCTTGGTGCAGAGCCTCTGCCCTTACAGAGAAGTTTAGGGCTTAACTGGGACTTGCAACATGACTGTTTCACCTTTCTCGTATCAAGAGAAGACAAGCCGTTCACAAGAAGAGGCATCCTTTCTGCTGTTAACAGCTTGTACGATCCTCTTGGGTTTGCTGCCCCCATCATCATGCAAGGTAAAGCTCTCATTAGAGAATTGTGCTCAGAGAACTGTGAATGGGACACTCAATTGCCAGCAGAAAAAGAGGCACTATGGAAATCTTGGAAAGATTCGCTTGTAGACCTTGAGAAACTTCAAATTCCTAGACAGTATGTGCACACGTCACTGCAATCTACCTGTCAAAGAGAGTTGTGTGTCTTTGCAGATGCTTCTACATCAGCTATTTCAGCGGTTGCATACCTCCGAGCCATAGATTCTGAAGGTCAAGTCCACGTAGGCTTCTGCATGGGCAAGTCCAAATTAGCTCCTAGACAAGTCCACACAGTACCTCGCTTGGAGTTATGTGCTTCCGTTCTGGCGGTGGAGTTAGCAGACATGTTGCTGAATGAACTTGACATAGAAATTCACAATGTGAAGTACTACACTGACAGTCGAGTAGTCTTAGGCTATATCAATAACATCAGCCGAAGGTTCTATGTCTACGTAGCAAACCGTGTTGCTCGCATCAGGAAGTCATCCGATCCCAGTCAGTGGCACTTTGTGAGCACGGAAATTAATCCTGCCGATCATGGAACACGACATGTGCCAGCTTCCTTATTGAGTTCTACAAATTGGTTCACTGGTCCCAACTTCTTGAGGGAAAGAGATGGAGAGTGTCCTGTGCAGCAGAATGACTTTCAGCTTGTTGAACCCTCCACGGACATTGAAGTCCGCCCACAAGTCTCTACGTTTGCAACTACAATCGTGGCAAATTCACTCGGGTCACACAGGTTTGAGCGATTCTCCAGTTGGAAACGCCTCACTCAAGCTATAGCGAAGCTCATTGAAAAGGCCAGATCTATCTCAAAGGCTACTGATTCAGATGAAGCAAAGATGGACGCTTTAATTCAAGCAAAGTTAGTCATTGTCCGAACTGTTCAAGGTGAGTCCTTTGAAGAAGAATTGAGAACTTTGAACAAAGGCGAGGACATAATAAAACACAGCCCATTGAAGAATCTCAATGTGTTTTTGGACAAGGAAGGTCTGCTGCGAGTAGGAGGACGTGTGACTTCTGCTGAAATAACTCAAGAACAAAGTCAGCCTATTGTGATTCCGAAGAAGCATCACATTGCTGCCTTGCTGGTCCAGTTCTACCACGAACAGGTTGCGCATCAAGGCAGACATATCACTGAAGGAGCCGTCAGGTCTGCTGGACTGTGGATCCTTGGAGGAAAAAAGTTGGTTTCAAATCTACTCAACAAATGCACAACCTGCCGCAGGTTAAGAGGGAATGTTCAACAACAAAAAATGGCAGACCTTCCGGCTGATCGTCTTTTCCAATCTCCTCCTTTTACACATGTCGGAGTAGATGTGTTTGGACCGTGGAACATATGCATCCGTCGTACAAGAGGTGGAGTGGTAGAAAATAAACGATGGGCAGTAATGTTCACCTGTTTGGTCACACGAGGAGTTCACATCGAGGTTGTGGAGTCTCTCTCTACTTCAAGTTTCATAAACGCGCTCAGAAGGTTCCTGGCCATAAGAGGACCCACCAAACTTTTCCGTTCAGATTGTGGAACGAACTTTGTAGGAGCATGCAAGGAGCTTCAGATAAGTTCAGACCCAGAGCTTCAATCCTACCTCAAAAAGGAGGCATGCACTTGGAAGTTTAACCCACCTCACTCTTCTCACATGGGAGGGGTGTGGGAAAGAATGATTGGTGTGGCTCGACGTATCTTGGATGCTATGATGCTGAAGGTTCATTCTCCAAATCTGACTCATGAAGTACTTGTGACGCTCATGGCAGAGGTAACAGCCATAATGAATGGTCGTCCATTAGTACCTGTGTCATCGGATCCTCAACAACCTGATTTACTGACTCCGGGGCTCTTCTCACTCAGAAAATCTGTCCCGCTTCTATTCCTCCTGGGGACTTCGATCCAAAAGACTTGTACCGGAAGCAATGGAAACAGGTGAAAAGTCTGGCTAACTCATTCTGGAAACGATGGCGAGAAGAGTATCTTGCTACCCTTCAACCAAGAAGAAAATGGCAAGCAGATCAACCAAACTTAGCCATTGGTGACGTTGTCCTCTTAAAGGACTCTCAGGTCAAAAGAAACGAATGGCCTACTGGACTTATTGTGAACACTTATCCTGGGAGAGATAAAAGAGTACGTAAAGTAGATGTCCGCATAGTTAAAGAAGGTACTCCTAAGGTGTACTCAAGACCTGTTTCGGAAATTGTGTTATTAGTAAAGGGTTAATAGTGTAATAGTAGTATTCCAGGCGGGGAGTGTACTGCCCATTGTGAGAAGAGGTATTTGGGTTTTGAGTTTCTTGTGTTTTGTCCACTCAGAGTTTCCGTAGCTCAGTTGTTCTCATAACATTCCCCCTGCAAGTCGATCTCCAGAGTGTTAAAGTTTCTGAACTGTCATTTCGGTCTCTGACGAATATCTGTCTGTAAGTATTTGTTTCTTAGAGATCTTAGCCTACTTTTGATATCCTATTTAGTCATTTTAGCATTTTTCTGTTTGTAATTTGCAAGGAAATATGTGACGCTAATTGCGTTAGCTTCTCTATGGCGTTTTCTATGTAAATTAGCATTGTGCTATTTGTTTGCCATACAATCGTGATTTGAAAGTTTAGTTATTTCTAGACTACATATTTATTTTTGTATTGTATATTCTTCATATTGAGATTGTAATATGCTTTTCTTTGTTTTTGTATGTTACAGTTTTACAGTCCTTTCAGTAAAACACCACAATACAGCAAGAAGCTTCTGGTACTTTATTGGAAACTGTTAGCTATCTGTAAAACTAGTTTATGCACACTAGTGAAGGCAGAATACAGGTCTATGTCTCATGGCCCTCTATCAGAATCCAGAGTTTTGAGAGGATTGGGGATACTACATTTTTCGCCCAAAAAAAAAAAACGTAAGGGGTAACACTGTCGTTTTTTTTTTTCTGGTCGAAATTTTGAATTTCGATATCTCAGCTCTGGAAGGGTCTAGAGCCTCCATTGTTGCACTCAGGTATAAGTCTCATGGCCCTCTATCAGAATCCAGAGTTTTGAGAAGATTGGGGATACTTAATTTTTCACCCAAAAAAAAAAACGTAAGGGGTAACACTGTCGGTTTTTTTTTCTGGTCGAAATTTTGATTTTCGATATCTCAGCTCTGGAAGGGTCTAGAGCCTCCATTTTTGCACTCAGGTCTAAGTCTCATGGCCCTCTATCAGAATCCAGAGTTTTGAGAAGATTGGAGAAACTTCATTTTTCGCCTGAAAAAAAAAAACGAAAGGGGTACCACTGTCGTTTTTTTTTTCGGGTCGAAATTTTGAGTTTCGATATCTCAGCTCTGGAAGGGTCTAGAGCCTCCATTTTTGCACTCAGGTCTAAGTCTCATGGCCCTCTATCAGAATCCAGAGTTTTGAGAAGATTGGGAATACTTAATTTTTCGCCCAAAAAAAAAAAAGTAAGGGGTAACACTGTCGTTTTTTTTTCTGGTCGAAATTTTGAATTTCGATATCTCAGCTCTGGAAGGGTCTAGAGCCTCCATTGTTGCACTCAGGTCTAAGTCTCATGGCCCTCTATCAGAATCCAGAGTTTTGAGAAGATTGGGGATACTTAATTTTTCGCCCAAAAAAAAAACGTAAGGGGTAACACTGTCGTTTTTTTTTCGGGTCGAAATTTTGAGTTTCGATATCTCAGCTCTGGAAGGGTCTAGAGCCTCCATTTTTGCACTCAGGTCTAAGTCTCATGGCCCTCTATCAGAATCCAGAGTTTTGAGAAGATTGGGGATACTTAATTTTTCGCCCAAAAAAAAAAAACGTAAGGGGTAACACTGTCGTTTTTTTTTCGGGTCGAAATTTTGAGTTTCGATATCTCAGCTCTGGAAGGGTCTAGAGCCTCCATTTTTGCACTCAGGTCTAAGTCTCATGGCCCTCTATCAGAATCCAGAGTTTTGAGAAGATTGGGGATACTTAATTTTTCGCCCAAAAAAAAAACGTAAGGGGTAACACTGTCGTTTTTTTTTTCGGGTCGAAATTTTGAGTTTCGATATCTCAGCTCTGGAAGGGTCTAGAGCCTCCATTTTTGCACTCAGGTCTAAGTCTCATGGCCCTCTATCAGAATCCAGAGTTTTGAGAAGATTGGGGATACTTAATTTTTCGCCCCAAAAAAAAAAACGTAAGGGGTAACACTGTCGTTTTTTTTTCGGGTCGAAATTTTGAGTTTCGATATCTCAGCTCTGGAAGGGTCTAGAGCCTCCATTTTTGCACTCAGGTCTAAGTCTCATGGCCCTCTATCAGAATCCAGAGTTTTGAGAAGATTGGAGAAACTTAATTTTTCGCCCAAAAAAAAAAACGTAAGGGGTAACACTGTCGTTTTTTTTTTCGGGTCGAAATTTTGAGTTTCGATATCTCAGCTCTGGAAGGGTCTAGAGCCTCCATTTTTGCACTCAGGTCTAAGTCTCATGGCCCTCTATCAGAATCCAGAGTTTTGAGAAGATTGGGGATACTTAATTTTTCGCCCAAAAAAAAAACGTAAGGGGTAACACTGTCGTTTTTTTTTCGGGTCGAAATTTTGAGTTTCGATATCTCAGCTCTGGAAGGGTCTAGAGCCTCCATTTTTGCACTCAGGTCTAAGTCTCATGGCCCTCTATCAGAATCCAGAGTTTTGAGAAGATTGGGATACTTAATTTTTCGCCCAAAAAAAAAAACGTAAGGGGTAACACTGTCGTTTTTTTTTCGGGTCGAAATTTTGAGTTTCGATATCTCAGCTCTGGAAGGGTCTAGAGCCTCCATTTTTGCACTCAGGTCTAAGTCTCATGGCCCTCTATCAGAATCCAGAGTTTTGAGAAGATTGGGGATACTTAATTTTTCGCCCCAAAAAAAAAACGTAAGGGGTAACACTGTCGTTTTTTTTTTCGGGTCGAAATTTTGAGTTTCGATATCTCAGCTCTGGAAGGGTCTAGAGCCTCCATTTTTGCACTCAGGTCTAAGTCTCATGGCCCTCTATCAGAATCCAGAGTTTTGAGAAGATTGGGGATACTTAATTTTTCGCCCAAAAAAAAAACGTAAGGGGTAACACTGTCGTTTTTTTTTCGGGTCGAAATTTTGAGTTTCGATATCTCAGCTCTGGAAGGGTCTAGAGCCTCCATTTTTGCACTCAGGTCTATGTCTCATGGCCCTCTATCAGAATCCAGAGTTTTGAGAAGATTGGGGATACTTAATTTTTCGCCCAAAAAAAAAAACGTAAGGGGTAACACTGTCGTTTTTTTTTCGGGTCGAAATTTTGATTTTCGATATCTCAGCTCTGGAAGGGTCTAGAGCCTCCATTTTTGCACTCAGGTCTAAGTCTCATGGCCCTCTATCAGAATCCAGAGTTTTGAGAAGATTGGGGATACTTAATTTTTCGCCCCAAAAAAAAAAACGTAAGGGGTAACACTGTCGTTTTTTTTTTCGGGTCGAAATTTTGAGTTTCGATATCTCAGCTCTGGAAGGGTCTAGAGCCTCCATTTTTGCACTCAGGTCTAAGTCTCATGGCCCTCTATCAGAATCCAGAGTTTTGAGAAGATTGGGAATACTTAATTTTTCGCCCCAAAAAAAAAACGTAAGGGGTAACACTGTCGTTTTTTTTTCGGGTCGAAATTTTGAGTTTCGATATCTCAGCTCTGGAAGGGTCTAGAGCCTCCATTTTTGCACTCAGGTCTAAGTCTCATGGCCCTCTATCAGAATCCAGAGTTTTGAGAAGATTGGGGATACTTAATTTTTCGCCCAAAAAAAAAAAACGTAAGGGGTAACACTGTCGTTTTTTTTTCGGGTCGAAATTTTGAGTTTCGATATCTCAGCTCTGGAAGGGTCTAGAGCCTCCATTTTTGCACTCAGGTCTAAGTCTCATGGCCCTCTATCAGAATCCAGAGTTTTGAGAAGATTGGGGAAACTTAATTTTTCGCCCAAAAAAAAAACGTAAGGGGTAACACTGTCGTTTTTTTTTCGGGTCGAAATTTTGAGTTTCGATATCTCAGCTCTGGAAGGGTCTAGAGCCTCCATTTTTGCACTCAGGTCTATGTCTCATGGCCCTCTATCAGAATCCAGAGTTTTGAGAAGATTGGGGATACTTAATTTTTCGCCCAAAAAAAAAACCGTAAGGGGTAACACTGTCGTTTTTTTTTCGGGTCGAAATTTAGAGTTTCGATATCTCGCCTCAGGAAGGGTCTAGAGCCTCCATTTTTGCACTCAGGTTTAAGTCTCATGGCCCTCTATCAGAATCCAGAGTTTTGAGAAGATTGGGGATACTTAATTTTTCGCCCAAAAAAAAAAACGTAAGGGGTAACACTGTCGTTTTTTTTTTCGGGTCGAAATTTTGAGTTTCGATATCTCAGCTCTGGAAGGGTCTAGAGCCTCCATTTTTGCACTCAGGTCTAAGTCTCATGGCCCTCTATCAGAATCCAGAGTTTTGAGAAGATTGGGATACTTAATTTTTCGCCCAAAAAAAAAAACGTAAGGGGTAACACTGTCGTTTTTTTTTCGGGTCGAAATTTTGAGTTTCGATATCTCAGCTCTGGAAGGGTCTAGAGCCTCCATTTTTGCACTCAGGTCTAAGTCTCATGGCCCTCTATCAGAATCCAGAGTTTTGAGAAGATTGGGGATACTTAATTTTTCGCCCAAAAAAAAAACGTAAGGGGTAACACTGTCGTTTTTTTTTCGGGTCGAAATTTTGAGTTTCGATATCTCAGCTCTGGAAGGGTCTAGAGCCTCCATTTTTGCACTCAGGTCTAAGTCTCATGGCCCTCTATCAGAATCCAGAGTTTTGAGAAGATTGGGGATACTTAATTTTTCGCCCCAAAAAAAAAAACGTAAGGGGTAACACTGTCGTTTTTTTTTCGGGTCGAAATTTTGAGTTTCGATATCTCAGCTCTGGAAGGGTCTAGAGCCTCCATTTTTGCACTCAGGTCTAAGTCTCATGGCCCTCTATCAGAATCCAGAGTTTTGAGAAGATTGGGGATACTTAATTTTTCGCCCAAAAAAAAAAACGTAAGGGGTAACACTGTCGTTTTTTTTTTCGGGTCGAAATTTTGAGTTTCGATATCTCAGCTCTGGAAGGGTCTAGAGCCTCCATTTTTGCACTCAGGTCTAAGTCTCATGGCCCTCTATCAGAATCCAGAGTTTTGAGAAGATTGGGGATACTTAATTTTTCGCCCAAAAAAAAAAACGTAAGGGGTAACACTGTCGTTTTTTTTTTCGGGTCGAAATTTTGAGTTTCGATATCTCAGCTCTGGAAGGGTCTAGAGCCTCCATTTTTGCACTCAGGTCTAAGTCTCATGGCCCTCTATCAGAATCCAGAGTTTTGAGAAGATTGGGGATACTTAATTTTTCGCCCAAAAAAAAAAACGTAAGGGGTAACACTGTCGTTTTTTTTTCGGGTCGAAATTTTGAGTTTCGATATCTCAGCTCTGGAAGGGTCTAGAGCCTCCATTTTTGCACTCAGGTCTAAGTCTCATGGCCCTCTATCAGAATCCAGAGTTTTGAGAAGATTGGGATACTTAATTTTTCGCCCAAAAAAAAAAACGTAAGGGGTAACACTGTCGTTTTTTTTTCGGGTCGAAATTTTGAGTTTCGATATCTCAGCTCTGGAAGGGTCTAGAGCCTCCATTTTTGCACTCAGGTCTAAGTCTCATGGCCCTCTATCAGAATCCAGAGTTTTGAGAAGATTGGGGATACTTAATTTTTCGCCCAAAAAAAAAAAACGTAAGGGGTAACACTGTCGTTTTTTTTTCGGGTCGAAATTTTGAGTTTCGATATCTCAGCTCTGGAA